ATAATATATATAATAAATTAACATGTGTTTCTTTATAGGCTCAGTGGCTGGATAARTTATTTCCTAGTAAGTGATGATTCAAAAGATTATATTTTTTAATTTAGACAGACTTCTCAAAACTACCAGGGGGTTGACTGRCTCCAGGTTAATAGTAGTGGCTAATATACTCATTATATCTCTTAGGGGTAAAAATCAGCGATTTGTTATCTTTTAAGGGTATTAAAATTGAAATTTAGAATTTCTGCATTTCTTGGTACCTYTTATGGTATCTCTTACATGTAGGTGTAAAAGATCGTCCAACTGCGCCCTTCTTAAAGGAAATCCAGTGTCTTTAAGGGGTATTTTTGAGATAAATTTAAGTTAATTGTTTGTAATAATTATTATTTGCATGACTATTAGATGGTGCAGCTTATGCCCTGGGAAGGATAAATGGACGTGGATGTTGGTAAGTAAGGGGATATATTATAATATACTATTTTTACTAGGTAATACATATGAATGGCATACCATGAGATACTTGCAGTTGGTGAGATATATTCCATGGTGTGCCAGAACAGATACATATACATGTACATGTGTAGCTATTTTATCCCCACAYCATTGAGAATGCTTCTAGTCAATAGGCCCTTTGCAGCTCAGTAATCACGTGCTAATTAATTTAATGAGAGCAAATGAATGAACATCTTGATTCCCATGTGTGAAGTATACTGGTGAGCAAACRAAATTTCTACAAYATGTTTCAAGAGATCGTAATAAAACTGCATTTTGTGACACTGTGTGGTTACACATCGTTTCATTCAGTTCTTTAAAAGTAGCTAAAAAGAATCACCAATTTAAAAGAAAAGAAAAAAAATTTCTGAACCAGTACAGACACGTGACCATTACCTGCAAAGGGCCTATTTAGTCAAGTATTTAAAACCCTGCATTACTGTATGCCTGATSGGAAGAAATGGTGGAATACTGCTCAGTATACAATTATGGTTTCTGCATCCTGATTGGCTGTATAGTTAACCCTTTAACCCTGCCAAAATCCCAAGKGGTCTTAGCACATACTTATAAAGAGTATTATTCAGAATGCTTTAGATGATTGCCTTATTTTGAAAACAAGCCAAGCTAGCTAGTATGTGTGAGCCATAATATGTGTGAGTCATATATGGCTCACTTGGGATTTTGAGCCTCAGTTATATAATTTATGTACGTGAGCCAGCTCACTTGCGACATARAGGGTTAATGGCATGGGTAAAAACTCTAGTAGCATAAGACTGATTGGTGAGATTTTCATAATTTTTTAAATCTTTTTCTTTCAGGTACCTTTACACCCTTAACTCTGGAGTGGATGAACCAGACCAGACCCTAGAGATATCCTTACTTGTAATAATTAATTTATTAAYTATTCATATTTAATATTAAGAATCCCTTTCTGTGTTCATATCATTTATAAACATGTGGGATGATAAAAGCAACAGAAAGAGTTAATTTTCAAATTAATATTAATTAATAAATTTGCAAAACATGTTGAAGGTAATTAAGATTATTATTTTTCACCTGTTCTGGAGGTTTGGGCAATTCATATATAATATGTTGTTTTGTCATCAGCTTTTTATGACTAGAGGTTTGGAAACATTGACAAATTTTATGTCTGTTGATTCATAGACCATGATGACAAGAAGATCTCTGATGGGCTTTTTGCAACAAACAGTCACATTCTGTTGTATGACTTTGATAACTAAATCAATTCAGATCTTGGTTGCTTGAGGAAGGCTCTGCTGGATGGCAAGCAAAAACGTATGTTTGAAAAGGTTTTGGAAATGACATCAGTAATCCAGCAAAAAATCTTTAAATAAAGGAAGTCCATTTCTTTTTGCCATTCAGTAACAGTCATGTGTCAATCTGTTGCAAAAGGCTTATTGTTTTAGTATAATTAAGTGGTCTGTCACAATGGGCCACCTATTAAGTAGCTCAGCCAATCAGGGAGCAAGATTTGTGATAGRTCATTAGTATGTTTAGATTAAGAATGCAACAACCAGACTAAGTATTCTTATTGTGGGGAGGGAGTGAAGACTGACTACAACCCTTTCAGGCCCCTTGTTGTTGTTGCTGTTA